ATCCTTAACTAGACTCCTGAGAAGAGGGCATTACTGTCACAGAATTTTGGATAAAGAAGCTAGAGCTCAAAAATGTAAATACTCAAAGTGATAGAGGGGAGGGGAGGGATTTGGTCATGGGAATCTTTGAGTCAGTGCACTTTTCATCAAGGTATAACTACATTACAGGAATATAATTTTTACACTAAGAGTTTATAAACATCTGGACTATAAGAAAATACTAAAATAATAAGCAAAAAATTGAGTTTTGGTCGACTTTTTTTAAGGTTTGATTTCTTTTGATAAAATGATTCATAGAATCATTGATCTCAATTTTTTCTTCAGTTAACACCCGTGTGCAGAATATACCATGAAATTCTAAACTCAAATGACAACTTCAGCTCTCTAGAAGCCTCAAGGAACATGCTGATCTAGATAGCCAAGCTTCTGGACAGCTTTAAAACACTGAAATTTTAAACTCTAATTACTTTGGATGGAATTTGTTTTAAAGCTCATCACTTATATTCATTATTAAGTAGGAGATGTATATTTATCACATAATGTATACTATTCTTGCTAACTCAGAGTCATCATTTTAAACATTAATGTTCTTACTTTGAGTTAACATAGTACTTTCTCTGAGCCAAATGGGGAACTCACTTTTTATTCTTTAAACAAATAGTTCTGATCTAGTGTGTTTTCCCTTTGGATTAAAAGGTCTCATCTTTTTTTCATAGTTTGGCTCACTGTTACTGTAAGATAGTAAATGAGGAATTAGAGTTCTAAGTATCTAGGAAATCTGTGTAAGGGGAAAAGAGAGGAGGGCAAAAATGAAAGAACACAGCAGAAAACCTGAGAGCCTCCAAATTAAGACTAGACACTCGATTCCTTCTGATGACTCCACTAGGTATCTGGTATCAGTCTAAGGGAAGTGTAACTTCTGATCCAAAAATATCTTCCCCAAAGTCTTTTCTATACAGCACAATTGTTTTAGCAGAAGATAATACCTCCATCCTTCGGTCATTAGTAAAAGAACAGATTGTGAAAATTTCAGGGCAAGTTAGCTCACATGGGTGAATTAATTTCTGTCACTATATAAAAGGCTTCAGATTAAAAAAAAAAAATGACCAGAGGATGCATGCACATATGAGAAGGAGACAGAGAGAGGACAAGTGAGAAAGCACCCTCCCTATGGGGCATTGACACGCTGCTCCCTTCCCTTCTCTCTCTCCCTCCTTTTGGGATTTTGGGCATGTGTGCACACCTGTCCAGTGTGTTTCTCAAGCCTCCACGTCCGGGATTCAAACCATATATTTGGCCATGTGAATCCAACTGCCTTAACCAACAGGTCATGGGTTGGCCCCAGATTTTTATTCTCATTTCTCTTAAGTAAGATATAGGAAGGTTCTAGATACTAGAGATATTTTTAGTGAGAGAAAAAGAGGTATAAATAGTAGATGTCAAAGATTCTAAACTAGAATTTCCCCAGGACAGTTCCTCTGGGTATTTTGAAGTAAGAACTGGGCACAAAGCAGAACAGTTGTTAAAAGGCTTTTTGTGTGGACATTGCAATAGCAAATAATTTATTTAGAGAAACTGAGAATGGGCGTTCTTCATAGTCTCCAGGTCCCCATGAATATGTAAAATATTATTATTCAACCTTACTCAACCACTTATTTGAGTAGGAGGCATTTGCTTCTGTGGAATTACTAAAAACACTCTTTTTATGTTTAACCAAATGTCCTTAGGAAAATGATGAATCACTTAGCAGCTTCAGCTGATTCCATTAAGCCCAAGTCTTTGGAGACAGGTGGTGTTTGACGTGACCTATGGTTTCCTGGAAAGATTTGGTAGCCATCCTGGTAAATAACAGCCACCAGAAGCCAGAACTATCACTGTTCTTTTCTTACCCACTCTTGTATGACACAGGAGTTCATCATAAATCAATTCCAGAGAGCAAGCCAGGCTCGGAAGCAAATTGGACTTCCCCAGAAGTCGCCGATTCGCCAGCCTGTGTGTTCTTCCGAGACGCGCTCCAGCAAAAACATACACTTCCCATCCTCCTTAACCACAACGCTCCAGTCCACCCTGGAAATACCAAAAATACGCAAACTGCACCCCTCATTTCACTTCGTAAGTAGAGTAAAAATTCAGAAATATGCATGGATGCCTTCTTCAGAAATACTACTGAACTAGCAATGTCTATAAGCAAAATGTCAACACTTCCCTAGAAAAATGCAGTTGGCTGCAGTTCGCATAAACGTTTAGCAGAGCTCTAGGCCTATACCAGATTCTCTGAAGGAGGGATTTGCAGTAAGAGGTCCAGAAGGAAAGCGCTCTGGATAACGTCATCACTAAGTGCAGTGGTGGATACAGGTTGAGTGGAAAATGGATAAACACCACTTCCCTGCAGCTACATTTTAAAATTATGCCATTTATTGCATATCTACACTTATGGAATTCTTTGGAAAGTCTGCTGCCGAATGGACGTCGGAATTGGTAGAGTTGTGACTATAATCCCATGATTGCAAAGGGCCATTTCTTCCTTAAAGAGTCTGGAATTCACCGCTTTCCTTAAAATGAAATTTATTTCTATATGTAATAAAACAGAGTTGGAAAAAAAGGAATAGAAAAGGAAAAAATAAAAGGAAAAAATAAAAGGGAAATGATGAGGGTTTCTTTTACTCCTAAAGAGTCAACCAAAGGTGGGCAAGCATGAGAATAATGGAAATAGTAATTGTACTATTATTCATTAAGTTTTTTGAGCCCCAGTTGTGTATGAACTGCTAGCTGCTACATAACTCCACAAGGCAGGTGTTATTTTCATTTCACCTAAGCAGTGACTGAGTCTTGAGGCTTAGAGATAGCAAAAGACTAAGCTTAGAAGTAGGATCCATAGGACACTACTATCCATGCTCAAAAGAAAGGCCATAGAGTGAATTAACAGATAACTTTAAGATTACATACAATATTTCATTTTATAGACCGCCATTTGGCATCTGTATTGTTTTACAATAAGACTGAATAAAATTAGTGAGGGAACATGGATCAGGGATTGATAACCACATAGTTTTCCAAATATACATGGAAACCTCCACTTGAGTTTAAATATTGCACAGGGCTATTTTTCAAGTGAGGGTGGAAATTCCTTACAATCAAAATTTAAAAAGACAGTATGCTCACTTGATTAAAATGAAAACAAACCCCATCAAAGGAATTACTCAGTAATTTCTTAAAAGTGAACTGAAGGCAGGGTTCTTTTCTTTATCTGACCCGGCAAGAAATCACCTGTCTTCGTATTGTGTACTGCCTCTGCCCCCCTCATAAAAGAGAGAGAGAGAGAGAGAAAGTGAGAGAGGGCCATAGGAAGAGAGAGAGAGAGAGAGAGAGAAAGAGGACCATGGTGGTCAGGCATAGCCCCTTCCCATTATAGATAAAGTTCAAAGAAGCAAAACACTTTGCTGAAGCTTTTCCAGGTAAGAACAAGGGCAGGCCTGGAGTCTGGGACTCCAGAACTTCAGTACAGAATTTTCTCCACTTTAACGTGTTTTCAGTTAACGTGGTGGGGGAAAGAATCCCTGAAAGTTTTCTGTCCCAAACCTCCTGGATCAGAAAGCATCTAGAGTACTATTATTCCTTCCTCTTTGAAAGGATTACAATGGCTTATCTAGGCTTCAGATAGGAGCGACCCACAGCCAGGCATTCGGGGAGGAGGAACATCAATTGTATGAAGCTGTGGCCAAGTTCCTATCATCTTTGTCTTCATTCGGAAAGCTTAGATGTGTTTAAAATAATACTCAAAGAGAACAAAACGTCTGGGCGCAATTTAACTTTCTCTGGCACCTTTAGAGTTGACGAACTGTAGAATTACAGGAGCTGAAACTGGTATCTACCCCCACAGTCTCTCACATCATGCGCAATTTCAACACGTATTTGAAATATCCTAGAAAATTTGGACTTGAACAAAGTGTAGACTCAAGGGATTGGAAGCTCCTTCAGCTGAATGTTTTGCCTTATGGAGAAATCCCCCCTCAATTATTCCTGGTGTGTCAGCCCAGCCTTTGGTTTCTTTTTCCTTCAGGAAGTGAAAGAAACACATGGAAACAACTGTTGACAAAAGAAATACGAATAATACCTGGGGGGATGGTTAATATTTAAGCAAATATTTACTGTAAACCAATTCACTAATCCAGAATTCACACAGCTTAGATAGTATATGGTCAACTATAGAATTACCATAATTATTACTAACTCAGTAAAATGGTAACTATGTTGTTTATTCATGTTTCTGGTTAATAAAACTCCAGAACACTAACTGTGCCTCAAAATAAAAGCACTTCACAAAAAGCCTTTTAAATAAATTAAGGAACAAGGACCCAAGAGCGAGGATGACCTGGAACAAATCTTGGTTTGATTATGAACAGATGGATTCTTGTCCCTGCATCCAGAGAAAAACTTGAAGGAGCTGAGAGAGAAAACACAAAATCCCTAGGCGAGACACCTAACAACAGACCCAAACTGGAAAAGGGCAAAAATAAAAGTTTCCCCAAGTTACAGAGCCCCGTCCACGAAGACAGGGCGACTTCTGGAACTCTCCAAGAATTTCTTTATTTTAGGAGGGTGTAAATGAGAGAGGCGCTTTTGTGAAGCTTACTAGACTTTGAATCATAAACGGGTGACAGATACGTGCACAGCACCCTCCGGCACGTCTGTGTGCAGACCTCTGCGCTGGCGCCTCGGACCCGAGCTGTCTGCTGCAGTGCTTGCCGACAGTCCCGGCACACGGGCGTTACACCCAGACCTCAGACCACCAGCCCGCTCCCTGCACCGTCCCGGGGCTCAGAACCCAGGCTCGGCCGGGATGCGGAGTGCGCAGGCATTCAGACGAGGATTTCTAAACTTCGCAGAGTTCCCACCGCGGTGCCGCAGCAGCCTGCGAGGGATGCTCCGACAGGGCTGCAGGGGGAGGCGGAGGAGGGACGTGACGCCCGCGGCGAGAAGGGAGCGAGATTCCCACTGACCTTTTTGCTGTTTAAAGGACTGAATCGAGCCTGAGTGGTGGACCATTTTCACCCTGCGCGTCCCCGCCGGGGTAGGGAGCTGTCGGAGAGGGAGGCGAAGGAACAGCAGCCGGACTTTATGGGGCGCCAAGGAAGCCCGGAGCCGCGGCGAGCGCCCTGCAATCCGACACCTGCTGTAGCCGGCACTTGGATCCCGGGCTGCGAGCCTGCCGGCGGCGTTGTCATGACGACGCGCGGGGCGGACCGGCGTCCAGCGCCCCTTAGCGGCTACTTCGGGAAGGACGCGTCCTGCGCGTGGCCAGTGCCGCAGTGAGGGTGGGCGTTGCGCGGGCTTCGCTGGGGGTGGGAGACGAAGGTTTCTCCTAAGGATTATAAATACATCCAAACCAACCTTTGGAGCTGCTTAATCATATGCTCTTTTTCAAGCTTTGAGGCTTGAAAAAGCTTATACCCGGGGGATACCAGCCTGAATTTCCTAAAAGTTGGTCTGTAAACCCTGGCACTTTGGAAAGGAGGGTCAAGCTGGTCTCTGCACGCAATGGCAAATGCAGAGACATTGTCGTCTTTCTCTCTTTAAATACGGGAGAAATAGGAGTCACCTCAGCTTAACCAGGAGCGCGTCTTATTAGATGGACTCTGTTCGGTATCCGGCACATTCCACTCGAGTTCCTCTCTCCTGCTCCGGCTATTCAGGCCTGGAATCATTTATGATGACGAGAATGACCACTTACTGCCTATTAAGTAACGGGTGCAGAAACTCGCTATCCAGCTACTCCATTCCATCTTCATAAAAGCCCTGGAAGCTAGGTAGAATAGTACAGTGGTAACAGTGTAATAGAAACGGATGCTCACAGCAACCGAATGCTCGGGACCACAAACATCGACGCCGAATTTGGAAGAGCAGACGCAGGTACCCAAGCAACTTTGCGAAGGTCAAAGTGCAGTGGATGGGGCAGGAGCAGGCGCAGCTCCACGCATCGGTCAGTACAACCTCCTCTCCTCCTTTCCCACCGCTGACCCGAAGCCCCACGTCCCACGTTTTTTCCTGGATATAACACGGGGCAGACATACAGAAAAAGTCTGTTGCTTCGTGAGTGTGAAGGTTTGCGAGAACAGCTCACAATCAGGCGAGAGATCCAGATAAAAACAAATGAATAAACAAAGAAGCAGAACTTTTCAAAAATGGCCAGACCTCGAAGAGTTTGAGCTGATGGTAGCTCTCTGATTTCACGGCGGAGCATGCTACAGGGCAGGAAGGGGAACACGGCTTTGAAGCAGCAGCTGCAGAACGAGTCACCCTGAAACTGGAAGCTTGAAGCGACCACTTATTATTATCTCTCATGGTTTTTTATAGATCGCCTAGGCTCAGCCAGGCATTACTCACTCAGGGTCTCTCTGGAGCGTTCTGTAACTGGGCCTGACGTCATCTGGAGCGAAAAGAGAGAAATGTGTTCTACTATCAACGGGAGGACTAGCCGAGAATGCCCTGCCTTCTTTAATGTCTCGTCACGGCCTTTCCAGAAAGAAAACGTTGAACATTTCATAAGCGCTCAGTGCGCAGGCATGGAAGAAACGCTTGATTACAGAGCATGACCTCAGTGGCAATCTACCTGCAGATGAAGACCTGGAAGAGCCCTTAGATAGGCTGTCTCCAGATAGCCTCCTTTTACGGATATTTTATATAACAGATGATCTCGCCAAAACCGAGAGCAATACGTGACTTGCCAGAGGATGGTTTTGTTTGGCTTTGTCTTTCTCATTTGCGTCTAAATTCTGATACAATTCTACTCATAGGTCATTCTAATATAGCACCACCTAGTAGATTCTAATACAACCCAATCTTCGTAATAAGGAATACATCAGTTACGTATTTCAGGACTAGTTTTTGGCAGGAAATTAGGGCTCCATAAATATTAGTCACTGTTATAATTATGACCCCTGGGAACCTAATCTTTTTTTAAACTTTTTTAAATCACTGGTGTCAGAATTAGAAATACTTTTGAAATGTGATTGTAAATTCAGTTCATGATCAGTAAGACAAGCTGAAAGGATTAAAGACCTCATGTTCTATTTCATACTTCAAGCATGGGTAATACCTTTAACTTCCTAGAACCATTTCTCTCTGCTGATCTCTGAGTTTTTACAGCTCACTTTCTGACCTGCAAGCTAGCAAGAGGAAAGATGTGTCTGCTAGACCTGGAAGTTGTAGGGCAGACAGGAAGGTGGGAAACCCAAGGAAGAGCTGATGTTTCCAGCTTGAGTCTAAAGGCAGTCTAGACACAGAGGTGACAACTACGATACACAAAATATCACCACTAAATACGTCTAATCAAATATGCATAACAGGCAAGGATTTGTGAAATCACAAACGTGATGGTTTAGAACAGCCTTCTCAAACTAACAAGTAAAACTGAAATGATTATTTCTAAAATATAGGAAACTTTGTATTATTTCTAACACTCTGCACCCCAACCTCTACAGCACAGCTATAATTAAGTGATCTTGTCATAAAGTCGATTACTTTTTTTTTTAATTAGAAAACATTTTAGGTTGGACTGCCAGATTGGCTAGCAGGGGATTCAAAGAACATCTATGCCTGTTTAAAAATCAGTCTTTTAGGGAAGGTTGCTAGAGGAACAGCTTTGTGAGAGGCCGAGGAAATTTCAAGCACCATCTGCTTTATGGGAAAGGCTGTGCAGACAGAAGGAAAAGATTCCTGTCTGCATGTGTGTGCGCACGGGTGCATGCGAAGAGTAAGAGCAGGTGTGTGTGTGTGTGTGTGTGTGTGTGTGTGTGTGTTTTGGAAGGTGGAATGCAGCAAGAGGGGTTTGAGCGAAAGCCTTCCTGAAATAAATCTCCCCGAGATCTGATAAAAGGAGGGATTTGGATAGAATCACACTGCCATGATAGCAAATGTAGGGATGGATATTATATTAAATGGCTTCATTATGGAAACCTACACTAACCTAACCTCATGTTAGGCTGCTATTTCTTACTGTTTTTGGCTTCACATATCTCTTTCGATATATGATATAAAAAACATTTATTTTATATAATTTTCAGTGAGGGGGCACAGTTAATATACAGGATGATCTGGACTAGTCTTAAAAAAAACTGGAAAGAAACATGGCAAAATTTCTAAAGTAATTACTTTTGCAAGTGGGATTAAGAGTGATATTTTTTATACTTTCAGATTTTTTTTGTCCTTTTTGTACTTTTGACAAGTGATAGATAGATACTCCTAGACTTATTATATGGGTTTATCAGCCCTGATAAATATCATATGTCAAAAATGAGTTTAATCCAGCACACCAACCAAATATCCTAACGTAGACTAGCCTACCTTAAACATGCTGAGAACACTTACATTAGCTTACCTTTGAGCTCGGCCATCTAACACAAAGACTATTTCATAACTAAGTGTTGAGACTATTATGCAATTTACTGAATACTGTACTGTAATTGTCTTTCTCTTCTTTTCACCACAAGCAGGAAATACAGATGAGCATTTTTGGAGACATGGGTGGGTTTGCAAAACACAGAAAATGCCAGCAACACGGCACCCTGTATTGGCCATTCACACTCATAACTGTGAGGCTGACTGGGACCCCTGACTGCCAACGGCACCCAGTATCGCACAAGAATGCCTTACTACACCTTGTTCGCCTAGGAGATGATCCAAACTCCAAATTAGAAATACAGCCTCTACTGAAGGTGTGGCACTTTCACACCATGAGTAAGTGGAGAAATTGAAAGTCAAACCGTCAGGAGGTGAGCAGCTTCTATATATCCATTTTCTAGGTATTATGTACATATACCTTTAAGGTTCTCTCTTTAAGGTACCCTCAACTCTACTTATGGATTTTTTCTACAACTCCAATTTCTCTTTCTTTTTTAGTCTTGGACACAGGCTTTTTGTTCTCATTGAGGTTTCTGCTGATCTTGCCCTCCTGCAGCTCACCACCTGTCTCCTGTCCTCCTAAAGTAATTAATTTATCAGGCCCCCTGCTACATTTTCCTGCATCACTGGGAAGGCTTTTTATTTCTCTGAAATTTGAAATGCAACCCAGGGCTGCTCCGATCATGAGTCTCCCTGTATTACACTCTATCAAAGGACCTAGGAGGGCTCTGTGAGTGCCCCTTTGGGTCTTAAATTGCTTAGCTGCTTTAATTAAAATTAAAATCTCTAATCAAATGGCAATAGAAATAAAAATAGGGATTCTCCTTACAATGATTCCTCTTCAAGAATCAGATATTTTTAAAATATTTTATTTCTTTAGAGAGAAACAGAGAGCTACCCCCCTGCAGGCTCCACACACCACCTACTCCCAGTCTCAGCTGATCTAGATCATAGGAACTCCCATGTGCCCATCGTGCACAGAGGCGACCAGGAATGTGAACCCAGGGCCCCACCCAGGGTAAGTCCAACTGTACCAGCACTGAGCCACCTCCTGGACCCAAGTGCCAGTTACTTAAGGCATTAAACAGTAAATGAAACAGCAAAGTCACACTGATAATGAGTTTATCTGCAAAGAGTAAGGAACAGAGGGTAGAGTGAGCCCTCAGAAACACTGGAGGGAGACCTTTGTCTCCTTAAGGGCATGATGAGTGACTTAGCTGTTTCTTCAGAGACTGGTGTACTTATTTTCACACAAGCTTAATAAGTGCATATTAATGAGTGAAGAAAGAAAAATTAAAAAGTATAAAATAACTTCTGAAAACTGCTCTTTACTGCCCTGAATACTTACCTTCTTCCTTATGCAAAGCCAAGGAAAATACATTATAGTATTTTATATATTTATATTTAATATATTAAGTACTTTCTTGTTTCTAGTGTCTCTTCATTCTTTATAAAAGATAAACCACTTATTTCTTTATTTATATTACATTTTTATACATTCAATCACTATACATCACCTAGCTTATAAAGGGAATTTACCCAGCATGAAATATACTTCAGATCAGTCCAGCTGAGAACACTATACACATCATCATTGACAGGTAATAAACCATTTCTGTGTCCCACAAATGTCTTACCCTCTATTTTTTCTTGCAAATTTCTTCCCCTACATTCTTCCCCTAGCCCACCCTCCTTCCACACTGTCTCCAGTGTTCACAACTATTTTCAATGCTTGGTGGTTTTTTTTTTTTTAATGGCTGAATAGTATTCCATAGAGTATACATGCCACACTTTTTCAATCCATTCATCTGTTTGTGGACATTTGGGTTGGTTCCATACCTTAGCAATTGTGAATAATGCAATAAACAAAGATATGCAAGCTGAGCATTCTCCTGTTCTTTAGGTGGATACTCAGGAGTGGAATTCTGAGTCATATGGTATTCTAGCTTCAAACAGACCTTCTATTTGAAGGTCTTTGAGGAACCTCCACATCGTTCTCCACATGGCTGGACTAACTTGCATTCTCACCAGCAGTGTAGGAGAATTCCCCTTTCACCACATCCCCGCCAGCACTTATCATTTTTTCTATTTGTAATCTTTGCCATTCTGATTGGGGTTAGGTGGTATCTTGTTTTGGTTTTAATCTGCATTTACCTTATGATGAGGGATGTTGAGTATTTTTTCACATGCTTTCTGACTTTTTGTATGTCTTCCTTAGAAAGTTGTTTATTCAGCTCATCTCCCTATCTTTTAGTATTTTCTTTTTGGCAA